CAAACACAGTGTTTCATTAGCTTTGAAGGAGACAGAACTATTCCTAAACATTGAAGAGAACTGTGAAAATAGGAAATGGAAATACAGAGATGGGAAATCTGAAAAATTAAGTTGGAAAAGGGGGAAAGAGAGATAAAACTCCTGAAGGGCTGAATAGCAAGTGCAATTTTGAGTCAAGGAGGAAGGAGTTGGACTTCAGAAAGAAAGAACAGGGACCGTTCTTGGAGACCTTTTGGAGGAGCAGGGAAGCAGAAGGCTAATAAGAAAAAACGTCAACAAATCTGACAAGGGATGTTGATAAGGAATGACAGTATTAAGTGAAGGCGAATGTGTAGTGGAGAAGTTGAAAGTGTAAAAGGCAAAGTATAGTCGAAGGTTGCAGGTAATAGATGAAATAAATATTTATATGGGGCAAAAGCACAGAGGTGCTCCTTCACCCTGCTGTTGGGTGAGCAAAAGGAATTAGAGGAGCAGATACTGTGTCAGCTTTCATCCTCCTTCCAGCTGAAGCAGGAGTAAAAACAGAGCAAAAGTAAGCCCGGTTCTGGTGCTGTGATTTGTGTCGGGCTGGCATTCCGGGCTGGCTGATGTGGAGCCTGTGCCCTGCGGGAGGGGACACGTTCACAGGGCAGAGCTGCTGTCCATGGGAGTAACTTCCCTGGAGGGAGGGGAGCTGAATCCATTGTGCATGGATAAAAATGGGATTTATTCTATACACAAGAAGGTGTCCAGAGTTCTACAGTGTGGAATTTCCGTATGAAGTGGTTAAAATCTGTGTGTTTCCACACTAATTTCTTGTGTGAGCAATTGTAAAACTCAGCGCTGCCACTGCGTAAGATACTGCAAATCACTAAGCTGCTAGCTTTTTATTTGTGAAAATTGTGTAAAATACTGCGCTTTTCCTTTATTTTGTGCGTGTGAAATTGTTCTTCCTGATTTGGTATTGCTTTTCGTTTGAATTTGAAAATGAATTTTTTTATTAATATCACTTACAAATGGATCAGTTTGGGCTAAATCCTTCAGGCCATTCTGAGACAAAGGATATTAGAGTCTGTATTTTTATCTGTTAATTATTAACAGTAGTTGAAAAGAATGAAGTAAATTACACTGTTTTGCAACTAGATTTTCATGTCTGACCTGAGTTAGTGGATGCTAAAAGTACATTTTGCATAAGACCTTGTCTGGGCACTTCTTCTTACAGACATGGTTTTGATGGGTCGGAATGAATTTGCTAAGCTTTCACATATCTTATGTGCCTTTGAGGATGGCCCATTAATAATATTAATACATAGGTATTTTCCATTGTTGTACGCAAGGCATTTTTTAGAACTTTGAAGCTAGTCTTTTTTTTAACACATGGACCTTTTCAATTTAATCCATTAGCAACTTGGCAAAATAAAGTAATTGTCCAACAGAGGAAGAAAAAAAAATCTATTAACATTTGCTACAAATCCGAGTAGTACAGGCAGCACTTAATTAATGGAACAGATTTCTCACTATGTGTTCAAGCTAACATAGCTATTGTTCAGCAGAGATTAGACCCTTAATGTAAGTAAGTTAAACTAGACCTCCATCTAAAAATATCCGTCATTTCAGCTATTAAAGCTCTGATGTCTTCTTCGGTGACAGATATATTTCCCTTCATTTCCTTGGTTTTGTAAAATGTGAAGCATGCATTGTGTGTAATGTGAGAAATCCACGGAGGTAGATGAAACCCCGATTGTGCCTGTCTCTCTCTGCCTGCTCCTTTGTGCTGCTCCCTGTCTCAGAGCCTCCTCAGCCCTGAGACCTGCTGGCACCAGAGCAGAAAAACAGAAAATGCCATTTGTCAGGGTATGATGCCAGCCACCTAATCTGTTTGCAGAATGAGGGCCATGGGATCTGATTAGGTAATTTAGATACCATGTGAGTTCAGTAATACCTGAGCTGCCTCTGGCTGTCAGCCTGTCACTTCACTGGTACAAACCGCCACCTTCTGCCATTTTTTCTGTAAACTTCTTACCTGGAATACCTTATTTAGTCCAAATAGGTGTTAAGTGCTGCAGGTGAGGCATACCTTTACTTCTCCTATGTGGAAGTTAGTGATAGGGTGGAGGAGGTGAGATGGCTCAGTTTTAAATGCATTTTCCCCAGCAGAATTCCACATGCAGCGAGCATTTTTTCTTGAAAACTGATTTTTTCTGACATGAGATGCTTTGTTTGAATACCACAGATGCTGTGCCAGGTTTCAGTTGTGTTGGGCCATCCAAGCTGATGCCACTGGTGGGTTTGAAGCTCAGTTTATCCACTGTGGTTATTTCACCCTTGTGGCTGAGAATTCCCTGACTTGCTGCTGCAGCCCAGGGTCTCAGGGGGGTGAGAGGCCAAGCACTGCCATGTCCCTGTGGGCAAGGGCTTGCAGAGGCAGCCTGGGTTCTTCAGATGCCCATAAGGGAAAATTTTGGCTGCAATTTTAATGCCACATCTCCTCCCTTCCTCTCTCCTTTCCGCCAATTACCATTTTTTGGAAATTAGCGTCTCGCAAAGCCTGCTAACATAAATAAAAGTGTTTTAGGATTTGTTTGCTTTAATTAAAATGTGTCTTTCTGAAAGGATTTAGTTAAACATCTTTCTTAAACAGTGCTGTGCCAGTAACAGCAACATTTGTAATAGTGATAAGACCCAGAAAGGGAAACCAAGTAGAAAGCAAAATGAAATGTTTCTTTGTCCAAAAAATAAATGGTTGTCTCAGGAAAGCAGAGGAAACCCTGTGCAGGGACAGTTACAATTAGGTTGATCAAAACAGTAGAAAACATAAAATATTAAATAAATTCTGCAAAGGTAGTGAGTGGGGCTGCTTGAGGTCACTCTCTCTACTGTCTTTATTTTGTTTTCCCCTTTTTGGACTGTTGCTATTTTTTTTTCTAGCAGTACCCACAATAGTCTCGGAGCTTTCCAAATAGGAAATAAGTTGCTTTACATGTCGTGATAAATTATTTTTCGTAGTGAAGATGGAGTGATTGTAAGGGTAATGATATTAATGGGATTTATATGAAAGCATCCAATTAAAAAATCGAAACAGCTGCATCAAACATGACTCTACAATGTAATAAAATCATATAATAAATATGTGGTCCCGCCACACCATATTACCTAGTTTGATTAATTGAACCTTACGTGTGCAAAGATAGTCATTATCAGACTTCTCAGCCATCAAGGAAGAACAGTCTCAATTATTTTCACAATGAAATAATCATTGCTTTTTTTGTGTCCTGCCATCTGGAAAGAGAAAACAGCAGCTGCCATGACTGAAATGCATGATCTTGCAGAACTGTACAAAGTTGATTGTGCTTGATGCTGGACTCTTCTTCAGCCTTAGTGTGGGCTGTAATTTATTTAGTTATATAAAAAACATGTTGATTTTCTCCTCTTTTGGAACCTTGCACTTTTTTCCCTTTCTTTTTCTTTTTTACTGTTTTTTTTTTTTTTTTGGAGGGGGGGTGGGTGTTATTTGTTTGTTTGGGTTTTTTGTTTGGTTGTTTTTTTTGGTTGGTTGGTTTTTTGCGTGTTGTTTTGTTGTTGTTGTGTTTTTTCTTTGTTTTTTTTGTTTTTTTCCAAATAAAAGACCCTTCTCTCTGTGAAAGTCTCCGCAGTGCAGGGCTGTTGTTGGGAAATGGCAATTGGGAGCTTCCTGGTTTTGCTTCAACACTTCCTCATTTCCTCCCTTCCCTTGGCCGTGCGGTGGGAATGCTGCTGGGATGATTTGCTCCCTGGCACAGCCAGATGAGAGGCTGGGCTCTGGGGCTGTGTCCCCTTGCCATCAGCTCCGAGTGGCCCTGGATGTGTGTGAGCTGGAGCAGTTCACCTGTGCCCGCAGACCTCCTGTCTCCAGGAAATCATAAGCATCTCAATCTTTTTGTCAGGCTGTGATACGAGAATCCGCATCTGAATTTCAGTACGAAGAGAGAGAGGCTGATTAAGTGTTTGAGATAAGGTTATGTGACACCACAGGTTAAAAATACCTGAACTGATTTTGGCCCAATGCCTGAAAACCACATTGTAGCATATTCAGGTGGCACTGAAAAAGCTTTGAGGAGTTTGTTGCTTTCTGCTTTATGCAAGTGCTTCTTCAGGAGTGGGCTTTTAGGAGCTGCATCTCTCTTTACAGCATGTTTTACAGCATTTCTTTGGACTTTGCTGTCTTGCTTTTCTTATCTAAAATGTTACCAATGTGTTGAGTTATAAGAAAAAATAAAGGTGTAACAAACCCTGTCAGTTTAGGAGGAAAAGGACAAATATTTCTGTTTGGCACAAATGTCTGAAGAAACAGATCCCCAAAATACTATGCAGCTTAATTCTAGTGCCCCTAAGCAATAAGCAGTGCAAGTTGAAATCCCTAACAAATACTTTGTCTTAACAAAATAAAAACAAAACAAAAACTCAACAAACAAAAACAAACACAAAACCTGTATAATTTGCAATGTCCCAGTTATAAAAAAAAGCAGTGTGCTTCAGGTAAATCTAGAAAATAGATTTAAAGAAATTCAAGAATCTTCTGAGCCTTGTGACTCTCTATAATTTTAATGTTTTATCAGTTGTTTTTTATTCATGCCTTATATTTTTATAAATATTCTTAGTGATGACAAGAAACTTTCGGTATGTGTCTAAATAATAAGAAAGGCCTGCCAAATAAAAGACTGAGACCAGGCAAGCTGTTCTAGCTTGTTTAAATTCTTCCCTGTGTTTAATACTTTAAAAGCTGTAGATGGACACTGAAGGATTCGGGATACTGCACTGGATTTGTGGTATCACTGTTATGAACTTTATGTTTAAAGACTTCTCTTGTTTCCTATGTAAATACCATACTGCAGGAGTCATGCAGAAATGTGACTTCCCTAATGCATTTGATTTACTTTATTTTCTTTGGGTGATTTCAGATGAAAACATGCCTGCTCATTTTTCTAGTTCTCTGAAATGTGATGTTGAGTGTGTTAATCATGTGTGTTCTTGTTCTTTTACAGATGGGCTGAAGCCAGATACCAAGATGCTGCTGACTGCTGCCTCCAAGAAGAAATCTAAGGGAGGGAAGGGGGATATGACCAAAGAGGATGAAAGCAGCAAGAATGATTCAGCCCAACCTGTTACTATCTCTCTTATCTTTAAAAGATATGTTTTTGATACACAGAAGAAAATGATTCAATCCTGAGGAAACAAGAGAGGCTTCTGATTACACCTTAAAGTCCAGACCCTGAAATGCATTGAGGTGGAATGTGTTTCTTGTTCAAACACATTAGACCTGTTCCTTCCTCACAAACAGAGCCTGGAAGCTTTTCCTGACTGTGCCCCCATCCAGAATCTCTGCAATCTCAGATTGTTCAGTTCAAATTTGCTTATTTTGTAATTTCTGTGATGTGCATCTTTATGGCATCTCAGAGAATCTCACCTGCCAGATGAGCAGCCCTGGGTGTACGTTCTAATTGCACTGTTTTCCTGGATAATTGTGTTGAAGTTTCTCTTGATTTAGAAGTTTGCCACCAAGTCAGGATGTAAACTTCATGTGACCCACAAAGTGAAGCTGATTATTCTAGGCTTACTTCTTTGAGCAAAGTGGGAGACAGAAGGCATACTATTTAATAGTTGAAAGCTAAAATGGATGTTTCACATTCCTTCAGTTGCAACTATGTGAGATGCTATGTGAGAGATGGTATGGATGTTTTTTAGAAATACAGTTCATATCTAGAAATGTTTTCCATATTAAACATAATGATCTGTGTAGCTGAGAGTCTTAATTGTTCTGTTTGCTCTTCCAAAGGTTCAGAATTTATCTTCATTGACATTTTATGTAACTTTTTTGATTTTCCTGCCTGTTCTGCAATGAATCCTATTCCAAAACTGTTTTCTTTTTCTTTTTTCTTTTTTTGTTTTTTTTTGGTAACCAAAATGCCTTTTGTGTGTGAAAGAAAAAGTTGCCTCTGGAAATAGTCAAGGGCTTTATTTCATTAAAATAATGATAGAAGATTGCTGCATAAGCCTTGTAAAATGAGTGTCTCCAAGATGCTTTAGAAACCATTAGTTTTTAATAGGGATTTCATGGCTGCTTTAGCTCTTTCTTTCAATTTCGTGTCCTAGGCTCATAAAAAGGAGAGCACTGGTAATATCCCTTCCTTGTTGCATAAAAAGTATAGGACACCTTAACATGAAAACTAACAGCAATTCCACAGGTATGAAAGCTGCAGTCTGGAACAGAAATTGGACTCAGGCTTGGCAGCATGGCAAATGTTGGTTCCTGCCTTTGGAACACAAAGAGTACCTGCTTGTTGATGCTGAATAGCAGCCTGTGACCCTTTTGCTCAAGTCAGCTATAGATGGTGATCATATGTACAATGTAAGTGCATGTTGCACGTGGAGGTAAATAATTGCTGCATTCATTCTTATTAATCATATTATTATATCCCTTGATGGGCATGAGTCCATCATGATAACATGATCCTGATTTTTTTCCAGTCTTACCCTTTTAATTTCTAGGTAGCCAAAGTGGCTACAAATGGCAAAGTTATCAGCTATTGAGAGGATATTTACAGCTGGACAATTGTGAGACAGAGCAAGCCTGGTGTCTAAACTAGGCTGATGGTCCCCCTTTAAATCAGAACAGAATTAGTGCTTTGTGTAATAATCCCAAACAGTTTCTGCTGAGTGAGTCCCAGCAAAGCTTTAGCACATCCCTTAAGATTATGGGGTATGCTTTCAGTGTGATCCCAGAGGAATTAGGCAGGCAACTTCAGCTATTGGCTTAACGTAACTTGTGCTGCCAGCCTTGCTGGAAAATGTATCCTTCTGTAATGGAAAAAATGCATTTCACACCCCTGTCACCTCTCCTTCCCCATTTCTCTCTTCTTCCCAAACACCCCCAAAAGCAGTCTTTGGAAAGAATATTTATAATGTCATCTTTCTTTTAAGCCTTTATCAAATCCCGTTTTGTACTCTGCACTGTTACCTCTGCCTAAGGTACTGCAGTGATGAACAGGTGACATTGAAGGAACAGTGTTACTATCATCCCAGGTTACTCTCAGAATTATGGGTATAAAAAAAGTAATTAAATGCTCCTAGTTATTAAGGAACTTATATCTGTCTTGTATCTGTATAGTTCTAGTGTCCTTGCCAAATTTTAAATGGGTTGCTAATTTGGAGTACTGGAAAGAAAAGGGGAGTGATCAGGAAAGGTGCTTCCATAGTTGTTATCCTTGTACTTAAAGGATTTTGTCTTTTCTCATTTCTAAGATACTTTTGAGTAGTTCTGGAGAGGAGGTTGTCAGTGTAAATGGGGGTATGTATTTTTGCAAAGCCTATCTGATGAATGTTTTCCCCCCACACCGTGGATTGCCCTTAACAGGATCAGTGAGTCTGTTGTTATGGAACTTGATCCCTTTGAAAACTCATTAACCCTGAACACTTAGATCTGCAGTCCTCTTCTTGGCTGAAAGGACTGCTGGTGCAGGGAGTCCCATGGTTTATTTGCTTGGGTACTCCAAGGGAGTGAGCAGCAATAATTCCAGAGTTGGACCTACATCCCTTTCTCATCCAGTCTCTTGTAAACATATTTTTAAAATCTCCCTCCTATCTTCCATTTCATTTCCAGACTAGCATACTAGCTTGGCATTTTTCTTCCATCTTCTCAGTCTAAGACCTGATCTCTTCCTCAGTGCTCCCATTTCCTTCTTTGCTCATTGCTTCTCCCTGCGCTTGCCCTGGGGATCCATGGCAGGGCTCCCACGACGTTTGCTGGGAGCCCGGTGAGGTGGGGAAGGCTCTTGGCTTGCAGCTCATCCCTGCTCCTGTGTGCACTGAGGAGCTGCCTCTGTTCAGGCTTTGACCCTGAGCAGCTCTGATGGGCCCACAGGAGCAGGCAGTGCCTTCAGCTGCCCCCCTACCCTGCCCTGTGCCTCGGAATCCTCTGCAGAAAGCCCCTGTCACAAAGCCTCGTCCTCTCCTTTCGCTCCTGCTGCAGACGTCCGTGTGGGATACACAGCTGGGGAGGGATCTGTTGAAGACTGGAGCTTGGTTTTGTGTTTCTCCCAATGTAGAATTCCAAAGGGAGAACCTAAATGTGCCCAAGAACTTTGATTATAATGTGCTATTACTGCAGATCTCTGGCTACTGTCCTGAGGCTGTTGGATACACATTCGAAAAAGGGTGAAATGGTGGAACAAAATGATTATGGGAAAATCAAAGCTTTAAAAGACATTTGTAGGATGAACAGATGTTCAAACATTCTTTTATTTGGTTTCCAGACAGACGTAGAGACTTTCCTTTCATCCTCATAATCAGTGCATTATGCTGTAATTTGTAAAAATGGCATTAAAAAAATATTAACAGGGTCATATTGTGATCTACTGACTCTGTGTCATTAAGCCGTGAAGTTAAGAACGGCAGCTGGGAGCAGGGGTTAAATGTTGCAGAATGTACTGTACTAGCATATATTGTCAGACTGTATTATAATGAATCCAAAATGGAATAAAGATGTAAGGAGGTTTTTTTAATACTCCTAAGGTTGTCAGTGTTGCAAAACTAGAAATTATTACGGCTGTGCAGATGTTTGGTGAGTAATACATCTTTGGGTTGTGGAGAGAGTAGCAGGGAGAAAAGCTTCATTTTTACAAGCCTGTTTTCTACTTTTCCTTGGAATTTATTTTGGGACTGCAGTCTGGCTTGTGATCATGCCAGAGGTCTGGAGCCAGGAGGGTCAAAGCTGTGCTCATGGTAGCAAGGATGCAGTAGGTGGCATCCTTTGCTTGGAATCTAAGCTGAGCCTCCCCACCTAAAAAGGGGGTTTGCACTGGAACTGTGACTGAAGGGTTTGCAGCAGGCTTGCAACCCAGCTCTTAAAGAACAGCTTCTGTTAAAAACTACAATGCATTTAATGTCTGGGACAGAGCCATCAACTCCAGTCTGTTGACCAAAGCCTGAGGCACCAGTGTCCCTTCTGTGTATGTTTCTGGCTCAGCTGAAAATAGCTCTGTCTCTTAAATCCTGTATTAGTTGGTTGCAAGTAAGTGACTGTGGAAAAGTGAACCATCTGCACCAGGGCAGTTCTTGATGTGTACAAGGCATCTGTTTCTGGCAATAGCACTTTCCTTGGCTGTTGGACTCTGCAGTTGAACAGCCACGGGGTGGTGAAGCAAAATGAGAGCCCATCACAGCTCATGGGGAGTTGCAGTGGTGAAGCCACAGTCCACCCCAGCACTGTTTGCCTCTCACTGCTGGGAGAGCAGCTCTGTGTTTACATCTGCAAAGTGCTCTGGGGTCTTGTGAGATGAGGGATGAAAGGCAGCAGAGGAATGCTACCTTCTTAGCAGTTTCAAAACCCCTTCATGCTTCCCTTTTAGTTTAATACCCACAGTGAGCTGGAAAGCTCTTCATTTACAAACACATGAGTTTTAACCAGACTTGTTGAGGATATAAATAGAATTATTTTAAGATAGAGCCTAGTTCTGGGATCTAACCTGCCAAGCCTGCAGAAAACGAAGAACTTTATAACTGCAATCTGTGGTAAGGCCAGTTTTGCTAGATGAGCACCCAGAAGGAATCCAGGGGCTTGGGGAGGCTGAGTTTAAGCAAGATCCTGGCAGTCTTCTGAGATTGTCCACAAACTCTCCTGCTGTTCTGTGCAAAAACAGGTTAAAAACATCAGTAGACAAACTGTAGACAATATACGAGGAAAAAGAGCACAGTGGATCTGCTTATTTCCCATTGTCAGTGCCAGAATGTGGAGTCTTGCTCACATCTCCTGCTGTGTGTGCTGTGCTAGTTGAAGTTCCAGTTGTTGGGTTTCCACTCCTCAGTAAGTGTTACAGTTTTTATTTTGTGTCTGGTACAAGTGCTTTTCCAAGATGGTGTAATCAGCCTGCAAGGCTTGGATCATCCATTTCCTCCTCAAGGACTGTTGCTTGTCAAAGGTGACTCCTCTAAGGGGCATCTAAGCCATACCTTTCTGATATGCATTTATATATCAGAAATTTGTTTTTCTAGTAAAGGACAGGAGAGGGAATGTATCAAATTCTTATATTTTTTTTTTTTTATTTCATAGTCAGCTGTGAAAGGAACTCATTGAACAGAATCAGAAAATACTGCAAGATCTTTGGTAAATATCAACACTGCACTGCTTTACAAGGCACTTTCTTAAAAACGAGACTGTCTTTTTGACTATTGAGTCCTTGCCAGTCCTGCCTGTTCTAGTTCATATTTCTTAACCAAGAGGTAATTTGAGGTCTGGATCAAGTGCTGCTAAACTGACAGCCCCAGCAGTGAATGAGGTTCCTGCTAACACTCTTGCACTGCCTTTTTGGCTAAACTGATCTGATTACTTTTGATCCTTTCAGAAAGCTGGGCTCTTCATTAGCTCTAGCATGTTCTGTTTAGATCAATTTCTTCTCCTTTGAGTGGGAGTCATGCAGTTTTCTTGTGTGTTGGTTGATCATTCTGAGATTTCTCAAGGGCCTCGTTCATGTCAATCAGAGAGACTCCATCCTTTTTGGACCACAAAATTGTTTTTATTAGGCTGTACGTGGCCCCCATTCAGATGTGTACGAGCCGATTCTTTTATACTATTTTCTGTGAAAACTGATATTTTAGTGCCTATAACTTGAGTCTGACAGTTAGGAGTGATCCATGCCCTCATGGTGAATTCATTCCCAAAACAGCATTCCATAAGGACAAGCTGAAACTTAGACCCCACACAGAAGTTTTTGCCTAAATTTCTTCGTTTTTGCTAAAGTAAGTGATCCATCATCTAGTTTTCTTTCTTAAGCCTCACTTCAACCAAAGCTGACTTGAACTCTCTGAGAACATAGTTTTGTTACCTGGAAAGATCAAGGTCTTTCAGAAGCTCTTCTAGACACTGTTAAGTTACTGAAATATTATCTGCATTGGTGCCCACCTCTGTTAAATGGATATGGGAATTTTTTTTCTGCAGAGTGCTGGTCATGCTGTTTGTGAGGACAGTAGAAATGCAGATGGGGTAATTAGTTACTTATTGTGCAAGAATAACTAAAATTATTCCCCCCAAAAATCAGGCATCTGAGAAGTGTGTTTTCACATGCACATCTTACTTGTTTCCTCTTTAGATGAACTAAGGTAGGTTTCAATTGCTGATGAATGTGGAAGGGAAAAGGAAGGGATGGTTTTGTGTCATCTTGCCTTTTAAAAAGATTGTTGGGAAGCTTTGGCAGGAGAAGCATTTTGTTCTGAGAGAAATGCAAATCACTTTATACCTCAGTGTTTGGGGGGTTTGTGTTGTTTTTGTGTTGTGAAGATTGATCTGTGCTTGGAACCCCACTGGGTGAGTGGACAGTTTGGTCTCCATCCAGTTCTAAATTGAGCTCTAAATCTCATTTGCCATCTGGCAAAGCATGGCATGACTGGGCAGTTTCAGGCAGAGGTCTGGATTTAGAACAGTGGAAGAACACAGAGGTTTGCCAGTTTGGAATGAAAATAGAACTGTCAGGAACACAAAACTCAATGAGAGGCATGGGCTTAGACTGAAATGTATTTGTCAGGACCTTAAACTGCTGTAATAATGGTATCTGAGCACAAATATTTAATAATTTATGTAACCTGTTGTTACAACAGGTACATAAATCTTTAAGCATCACAGTTTAACATACACAAATACTTTTAAAGCTGAAGTTGCTTTAATTGAGATCAGTATTGAGAAAAGCTCTTACAAAATATTTTGAGTTCTCAGTACCAAGTCCTGTCAGTATTTGACAATTTTTGCCTTTGATATATGATGTATTTCAAAATCACATCATTATGTACAACTTGCACTCACTTACGTGTTTGTGCAGTGACTCGATGCCCAACTGATGTGTACAAAAGTGGGAGAATGAATTTGGTCAGTTGTCCACTGCCACGTGTGGGATGTCACGGGGGTGGACCTGAGTATTGAGACTGTGGCTCCTGCTGCTTCTCTTCCCACGTTCCCCTTGCTGCCACGTGAAGGGCACTGATGAGTCTGCTGTTCCCAGCCTTGAGGGCAGTCTGGACTCCTCAGAACATTTCTGTCCTGTGACAAAAGTAAGAGGAAATCTGTCATAACTTTATCTTTCACTGAGGCAGTGCAGACAGAGTTTGTCCATGTGGTCCATATTTGGTTTTGTCCATCTTCCAAAGGAAGGTTCTTAACTGGATTGTCTGTGCATTGCCCTCCACCCTAACATCGAAAGCTCATGTAGGAATTGGTACCTGTGTCCCACTACTAAAACGGGCAGAAGTGAACTTGTGGTAACTTTGTCCACAATTTTATTTGTTGAAATACTAACATTAAAGTCATCTGTGAGAGAGCAGCAAAGACCACCTTCAATTTGTACACAAGGCTTGCTAATTTGCAACATTAGTTTTGCTGGTTAGCGTGGGGTGGTTTTTTTCCCCTTAATTAGAAATTTTAATTAGACCATGCTGTGTATTAAGATGTTAAAGCTTTGACTGGCAGTTTGGAATTGCAGAAGGATCAGCTCTCTCTGCAGGGTTGCAGCACAACAGGGATTAGCTCGCACCCTCCTGCCTGCAGGTGTGTTTTGCTTCTTGAGGAAATGTTCCTCAAGGCAGGAAGCATTCATCGTCCTGATCAGACCTGTCTGTTCCAAGGAGCCTGAGCTCAGGGAAGAGCTGCAGATTCACAGATCATGCACAAGGTGTAAGGACAAAGTCTCAAACCTGAATGACAAATAGGTCATTTGTTGGAGTGTTTCACCACAGCACCTTTGTCTGCTGAACTCCGGTTGTGCCAGTGCAGGAAGGTTCCTCGTCTTTGGAGATCAGCTGCCATGCTGGCCCTTCTGCAGCTCCAATTTTCAGTCCTGTAATGTAGAAGAGCTGCCTGAAGGGATTTCCCCATGCCTGATGTGCTGATCTGGGCTGTCTGTAGCACACCATGCATAGCGAGTTGCTGGGTGTGAGGGAGCCTTGTGGGCTGATGTATTTGGAATTGCTCAAGCTCCCTTACCTCGTTTTTCTTTCTTGTTTTAAAGCAGATTCAAGGGGAGATAGGACAGATTTTTAAAAATTAGCATTTAATGTTTCCAGCATCACACTCCTGGAAAGTACAAAAACTTCTGCCATGGATAATTATGGAATAACCTATATAAGGGAACTGTTTCCCCAGTCTCCTCACAACTGGTGGATATCTTGTGTCCTTTGAGCCTGAAAATTTGTATTTTTCTTCTGTCTAGAGTAAGTGTGGGTTTTTCTGTTAGCCAGACAAATACACAATCATTTAAAAAACTGCTGAAATGCATTTTCCAAGATATCTTGTGGCACTCTAACCCACAAGCTAATTACGGTACTGCAATTATAATTTGCTATTTTGAGTTGATTTCATATTCTGCAGGAACAGAAGTCGTGATTTTCCTTATTTCTTGCTGTTAGTTTGTTTATCAGATGTCATCTCTCTTCAGAAGTGCAAATCTTTGCCACCTCTGTTGGTATAGAAAACTATCCATGTTTCTAATGGTTTTACTTAATCAATATGCTCTTAAAAATGAAGATTGATAAGTAACATTTTAATAATTTCAATATTAACTGTCCCTTCTAAGCATCATCCCACAGAGTTCTGCTGTGCAGGGTCCCTGTTCTATTGAGTGTACATTTCTATTGAGGGTTCACATTGATGCCCAAATCCTTCATCATGGATTCTTCTGTGAATATATTCACATAGTTCAATTTATATGTTATTGACAGTTAACTTTCACTTGTCAATACTCAATTTCAGCCTAGCTTTGGTGGTACTTAAGTCTACCTCCTCTTCCTGCCAGCTGTATTAACCTTCTGCTATTTGCAAATCTTGTCCAGTTTTAGTTCTTCTCTTTCCAGAGGGTCACTGGTTGAGCAACACTGAGTTAGTGTGGACTTTTTTAGCACGTGTTTGATCTTTCATTTGATTAAAGCCAGATCCTTACTCCTGTCCTTTTCTTTCTTTGCTTTTCTTGCAGAAAGTCTTTGGTAGCCAAATGGTTTATGAATGTGTGTGTATAATTTCAGTATAGTAGAAGTATCCAGTTTTCCTTGGGTTTTTTCGGTGCTTAGTGAATGACATTGGTCAGGATGATTGGCCAGCCTGGTTTTGATTGATGCCTCATGGTTTTATCTGGCACTGAAGTAAGCTGACACTGGTCTGTAATTCCTTGTAAGTTCTGTTTTAAAGAAAGTGGTAACTCTGGCAATTGACTGTAGTTAAGACATATATGTCTGTTAGTGTGTAAATAATTTTTAATTAAATGCTGTCAATAATAATAATTAAATGTCAATAATTAATAATTAAATGCTGTCAATAATCAGTAAAGTGTTTTATCAGGTGCACTTAGTGAACTTGTCATTTTTATACCAATCAATAGAAGTGACTAAGTTGATAACTAATGAATGTTATTGAGCATCTCCACTTTTTACTGAGCAATCCTAGATCAAATTTGATCACAAACACAAATTCTAGAGTTTGTCACCTGATAGTGAAAGCAGATTCTGTTTTAAGTTTGTAAAGATGAATTTTTTATTTTCACCTGCACTTTAAGCTAGCACTGTCAGCACCATGTAATGAGCTTTTTGCTGGAAGGACTTTTGCAGGTATTGTGGATGTTGAGGTGGGCAGTGCTTGAGCAGTGGCTGAGCAAATCCAGTGTCACTGTTCTGCACTTGGCTGCTCCTGGCTCGTGCCTTTTGCAGTAACTTTGAGACCAGCATTTCAGTGTCTTAAAAAGGGAACATCACGAGAGGCTTTGCAACAAGTTGAAAATGAGCAATGATGTAGAAAATATGCCATGATTGAAAAAATGCTGATTTAATTAAATGTTTATGGCTGAGACACTCTGGTGTAAATAGCCTGTGGCTCCTGGCTTGCAAATTTAGGTGTCTTTCTGTTTGTGGCCAATCTCACTGTTTTGTGCTTGTGGTACTGGAGTTTCTGTCACTCTGAGCTCAAATCCCAAATCCATGTGAGTGACTTGCACATTATGGAATAGAAGAATCCCTTCACTGAAGCACAGGTGTGCAGCCTGTCCTGGAGGGGTGGTCAGAACAGCACAGTGAGTTACAGAGCAGCAATGCCACATCCATCCCAGCTTGTGGCATTTGTGAGTGAAGAGGAGGAGCTCTGTTACGTGCATTAGTTGGATGTCAATACAATCATGTCTGTCTCAGCACCAAATCCCAGTGAAAGTACTCTGTACTAAGCTCCCACTCTGTTTCTGACGTCTCCATTTTTGTCTTGGAATCCTGTGGCTTGCTTTATTATCAATATAAGAATATTAAGAGAGGGAACATTTTTCCATTCCATTAGCAAGATCTCTTCAGAATCTGTGATTGACAAGCATCTCTCTGCACCTTCTCAGTAAGGAGCTGTCATCTGTTAGATGGATGTAGAATGGCAGGAACTGTTATGTTTTGAAGGAAATCCTAAAGTCACCTTGTCCCTCTCCCTACCCAGAGGAAGGATCAGTTGTATTCAGTATCATTAGAGTTGTTTTGGAGAGCAAGGGAACAGATTTTTTTCTCCCAGTATCTTCCTTGTTGCCTATTTATCTATATAATTTTTTATCCCTATCCACTGTGATACAGAGAACAGTCTATTCTTTTTCACTTTGCAGCATTCTTTATATACTTGAAGACTGAGCATGGATGTGATCAATCTTCTTTCCTCTGGACTAAATGTTCTTTGTTGGTACAGTCTCTCCCCTTGGGGGCTGTGTTTCCTGGACCTGGGTTTGTTTCTGTCTTCCTGAGTTTCTCCAAATGGTCAGTGTCTTTTCTTCAGTTCATTTCTCTCAGCCAGGCAGTTCTCTAGCTAAGACCTCATGGGAGCTGACTAATTCAAGTAGGATTTTAACTTTGGGGGTGCCTCAGGATGTCTTCCTGTTTATGCTTCCCTGTCTGCAGGTTTTGCACAATTAGGAGATTACTGCCTTGAGTTTAATGTGTGAGCTCAGATCATGATGCCTCTCTGTAGATTTTTTAATGCAGGCTTCCATTTCTCATTCTGTACTCACACATTTCAACATCCCAGCTTAAATAACTTCTTATTTTTTCAGGCTATTGTACCAGTTTACTGCTTTCAAATTCTAGTCCTTTCCTCCAGCATGTTCATTCCCAACTGATCTATCCAGTCACTGAGATCATGCATGAAAATATTGAATAGAATTAGCTCGAGGACAGGCTTCTGTGAACCATGCTTCATACACCCTCCCAAACAGCATGCCATCAATAACTATACTCTTCATGTTCTCCAAACAGTCTCATGATCAGCCTATAATAAGTTTCTCTAAGAGACCTTTCCCTGGCATGCTTATGCAAATATCATGTGAAAAACTTCAGAAGTTTTTTCTAAATCAAGCTACCTACACCTATATTCTAGGTAATATTTTCAAAGTTACTCACTCTGCTTTTATTTGGCTTCAGCTGCAAAACTGGACCTGTGTGGAGCCTGCTGCCCCAAGGCATGTGTTTATTTTTGGGTTTTACTAGAATCCATTTTTCTTAGAAAAAGAAATGTGTAAATTTTAATGTGTAAGAGGATGTTTAGGAATGTGGACTACTTTGGTGCAAAATACACTCTACACAGGTGATATGCAAATTATCTTTGTTCTGTAGGTGCATTTTAATCTTGACCTGCAAGACTGTGTTCAAGCCTGCTTTAAGTATTCTGCACTCTCAGCCCTAAATCAGAGCTGTCATCAAACATTCAAGTGCCAAGCATCCAAACGCAGCCTGGACCCAGTTTCAGCCCTGCAGCTTTTCTCTCTCATGGCTCCTGTCTAAATCACAGCTTGAAAGGCTTTCAGGGCTAAGAAGCAGCACCTTTTGCAGTTGAATTAAACAATATTTTGGTGACAAAGGTGAATCCTGACAGGAGTCCAAGGAGACATTCAGGGTCATTTTCACATATGGAATAAGTGGGGATTTGAATTGCAGGTTTGTATTGGGCTCCATTTCAGTATCGTGATGCTTTCAGGTGTGATTAGAATGTTTTCATTAAAATTTGAAAATCAAATAAGACGTTTTCTGATAATTCTTTCTCTTTTCTTGGCCTTGCAATAAGCATATAATAAATTCAACAGCTTATGTCATGAGGAGCTACTGGATTTCAGCCCACCTGAACATGGAGATATTAGGATGCCTCCTGCACTTTTGTGTGTGGTGAATGGGTCTTAGTTATTATAAAGTGCTGCACAACTTCACCTCTGCACAGGGTGTTCAGCAAACAATTCCCAGCAGAAAATACCTGCTGTTTCCTAAGCTATGGGAAATGCTGTCTTACTCCATTAGCCCCTCTGCACTTGCTTGGTTTTTCCCCCTGCTTGCTCCAAAGAGGAGGGAAACATATCTTTACAACCACACCAGCAAGAATTAGCCCAACTGTATTTTACAGGTAAACTAACAAATAAGAGGAGAATCTGAGCAGCCCCCAGGGACTGAGCTTGTTTGCTGCTGGGCTGTTCTATCTGCAGTTGGCATCAATGGAAACCTGAGTGCTCCATTAAAAGTCAACAATCTCTGTTGTCTGGGGCATGGGGCAAACAGAGCCAGCCTGTTCTGCAGACAGACTGATGGCCTTTGTCTCCCCACACCCAGCTCGGGATGGGAAATGATGAGACTGAACCAAAAAGCTTGAAACTGGACTTGGAGTTCTTACCCTGCAGCTGTGGTCCAGGGAGGAGCAGACACACAAGGTTGCCTTCAGGGGCCGTGCAGGACATTCACTGGGTGTGAGGCATTAAGTGAGGATTGGGGCTCATCTGTAGCAATGGGAAATAATGCATGGTGCTGGTGTGGGCCCCATGTAGTGACATGGGGGTGTGAATCTGGAAATCTTCATTCCAAAGCCTTGGGGATCGTGTGGGTAAGTTACCACTGTAAGCTGATGAGGACAATAATCTATTATAGAGCCTACCCTTTTAACCATGCCCGTGTATTAGTGCCTTTAACAGCAGCATACTGTCCTCTCACCCAGCCCAAGGAGGCTCAGGCCTACACTCTCCTGTAGCATTTTCTTCCAGTAAACGTGACTGCTCAAATGATGCCTTGATGTTCTGATTGCCCACAAAACAAAAAGTAGGGGTTATATGTACTTTTGTCCCCATAGTGCAGCAGAATTAGATTGCATCTCAAACACCTGGGGTTAGGGCTGATTCATGGGAAATACCCAGCATTTGATGTTTTCATCTTTTCAGAAGACAGCCCTTCAGCCAGGGGACAGTGTGCCACACAGGAAGTACACTGGGCTTTGATGGTATCACAGCCTGGAGGGAAATGCATGATAGTACTTCATAGTACTTCGAATGCAAGGGAAGTGGTCTTTCCACTCTGAGTTTGCAGATATTGGAGTGGTGAATTCATTGGTTCTCCCATGCAGAAGAAGTTATCTTTACCCCATCCTTGCTGCTTCTCTGTCCCTTTGTTCCACCAACAATTTTTATCAGTAAACGCTTTGGTACAGCCAGCAAGTTGTTTGTCACAGGCTTAAGGCCTTGTTTTGTCACTGAATGCTGCTATTTTGTTACTTGCTCTTTGCTTTTGCAGTCTGGGTCTGTGAGCTGCCCAACAGTAACACTGGAGTTTTGGGGCTGTTGGGAGATTGCACATGGTCTTGCTATGCTTTTACTTGCTATTTCTATCAGGCAATGCTAGAAAATGTGCAAAGGGAGAGTTCCCCATATCATCTGCCTTTTGTTCATCTTAATCTCCAGACAGTGTGAGTGACCTTTCGATAACAGCCAAGACAGTATTTTGTGCTGTAAAAGCTTGGACATAGAAATGAGTGCTGCAAATATCCCTTTTGCTCTTAGCTGTCCACCCTGTGTTGGGTACATATGTTGAATCATTGTTCTAATTACCTTTAGAAGGTAAAGGTGGTAGCCCATGAATGGGAATTTCAGAAGCACTAACCCTACACTTACAACAGTCAGGGTGAGTTTCATGGCTAACTCCAGGGGTAGGAGTGTGCCCACAGCACGCAGCTGACAGCCCAAACCCAACTGCTATGCCTGGTTTGGTATGGCTGCAGGAGTGACTTTGGTTATCTCCAACAGAGTTAGGGCATTTTCCCCTGAATTACAGGGATTTAACTCTTATTTGTAGGGCATACTCTGATGTCAGTTCAATAGTCTCTAAACCTCTCCTCACTTAGTAAACTCTGGTATTCCTGCAGTGGAGGGGAAAAATGAAGGGAGAAGGAGGGGGAAATATCTGGAGAAGGTATAACACAGACAACTGA